ACTTGATGATCTTAGAAGTCATTTCCAACCTAAATGATTCTACTATTTTGAACACTGCATGAAGCTGTGCATGGAAATGCATCTTGGCTTCATTCTTGGTATCTTGTGGTGCTGTGCTTTATGAAGCTGCAGTTGAGTCGGGAGTCAGTACCTACCTCCCAAACTTACTGATCTGTGAGGTAGAAAAACCACAAATTTATTGTGTGGTGGTGCCAGTAAGCAAAACTTTTTTCCCTGTTGCAGACCAAGTGGGGATGATCCAAATAACACTTTCTTCAACAGGAAGGTGACCCTTGAGTTGCTTTGCTGTTTCCTGAACTAAGTATTTTGCTGATAGCCTTTTTGCTGTTCTCCTTCCTGTAGAAGACTGGCAAATTCTTCCATTTCTTTGAATATCTCAGTGTGAAAGTGGATTTTAAAAAATGTGCTTAAAAAGCGGCAGGCTGGACTGGGAGCAGATGTAGTACGGGTGTGAATCAGCCCTTTCACAATGAAGGCTGGCTCTGTGCGTGTCCTCTTGTCTGTCTAACCCCCACCCCGTTTTCTGGGTTAAATACAACCTCTAACTTGGCTAAATACAGGATTTTTTTGACCGAATGAATGTGAGCACCGTATGATCTGCCTCCGCATGTTCCCTGAGCCCTTTGCAGGAGAAGGGAAATGTTTAAATGTTTTTGAACAAAGTCTGCTAACAGAGTTGTGGGTGGAAAGAGGACAAAACAAGTACGTGAAGAGCCACATATTTTCACTGGACTTCTAAAACAAGTGACAGTTTGTTCTCCAGATAAAGGCACATTTGAGAGGAAAAACCTGAACGGTGACAGTGGAGGGTTTTTTTTGGTGGGTTTTTTCTTAGGTGTCATGAAAGTTCTTGTCCAAAATAAGAAGCATCGAGGCTTGTAAGCACGTACTTTAAAAATATGAATACGTGGCAGGCTGAATCCCAGGTGAGTGCTCATGACATACAACAGAGGATCCTTTTCTTAGACACTAGAGCCTAAAGGTGAGATTTCAGTGGAGTGTACTCTTACAATCTGGGGTTTTACAATTTCTGTCGGTAGAGATAATCTTGCTCCCATGCAGGAAGTCCGACATACGTCAAAACAACCTGAGTTACGGCTGGGTGAAACCTTTGGCTAACTGGTTTAAAGACCCATGTCAAAACTCTCTGAAGATGAGTGTGTTTCCATGCTCTGACAGGGTAGAGAAAGGCTGAATGCTGCTAAGAGTATTCTTGCATAAAATGTTGGGGGGATGTTATGCAACTTCATTTCCATATTTTGTCATTTTCCTTATTTTTTTCCTATTTTGTTAGCGTCTGCTGTGTTAAGATTATCTTCTGCAAATACCTTGAACCAAGCAAAGGTTTTTTGGGAAGAAGAAGCTGGAGGGTGCCATTTGGGGCAGCCAAGGGAGCTAGTCTAATTGCTTGCTACTGACAAAAGGGATTTCCTTCCCTACTCACAAAAGTGCTCTCCCTCCTTCATCCCCTTTTCCTCTTCATTGGCTCTCAAACTCATCTCTTCAGAGGTTATCCTCACTATCAACCAAACATAGCTTTTTTTTTTTTCCCTTGGTTTGTTTTTTGGTGGATTTAGTGGGTGGCTTGGTGTACACTGTGAGTGCTAACGCTGGTGGGGCAGAGAAGATGGAAAGTGTGTGGCTGGGCAGAGCGGGGAATAGTGACTCCTGACTGCAGCAAGCTGCTAGTCCAACTCAGCACGTACCGCTTCCCACAAACTAAGGGACACCACGCACCCATGTAATTGTTTCCTGTGCAGTTTGAATTGTGCAAAACAAACCTTTCCCTGTGGTGTTAGGATTCAAACCTTGCAGCCTTTTTGCTTTCATGTGAGAATCCAAAAGTAAAAGACTTTGTTACGCTAAAACCTATCTGCATGATTATTTTAGCCAAGAAATTCAAATAGGATAGTTAATAAAATAAATTTTCAAGGGGAAGAAGTTTTTTGTGAACCTGAACCTTAAAGATGAAAAAAACAAAAACTGCCATTGTATTTTTTTGCTTGCTTCAAGAATTTACAAGGTGGAACTTGTAATTTCCGCACTGACCAAATTCATGAGAGTAAGTTTCTCAGCTTTTACTGTTCTTCAGATATAAAAATGTTTTGATTCTCTTATGGGGTTTTTTTTGATTGCAAGTTAGGAAGAATGAACTTTCAGCTTTCCTAAACTAGCTGAGTTAGAACTGAGAAGTTCTTTCCCTGTAAGCTTACTATTCAAAGACAATCAAGGCTGGAATTTGTGCTTTGCAGTCCTGCCTGCTTTTTTCATTCTTTAAGAAGTTCCCAGTACTGTTGGCATTGCTTTATGTCTGTAGCTGTCAGAATCCTACTAGCTGACTATCCCGTCATTAAACCATAGAAACCCAAGTTTTGAAAGGGCTAAATAGCACAGGCCTGGAAAACAAGCTTAGACATCCCATACTGGAGCAATAAAAATATAGTTCTGAGAAGACTGTCTTCAGTCCAGATGTAAAGACAAAGAATACAGTACCCAATGTATCATGAAAACAGGACCTTGCACAAGAGGCATGTTACTAGTCATTGATTCCGCATATTCCTGGGTGCAATTCAAAGAGGTGGTTTGCTCTATAAAACGTGGCTTGTCATGCAAGATGATGTAATTCACACTATGGTTGGGAGAGAGACTAAGCGTGATGTTTCTAGGGGAGGATCTAAGCTATTCCCATTCTGTATGCCGTGAAGAAGTGACTTATTGTCACTTATTCAGCCTCATTTGTTCTCTATTTAATAATTTCCACTTTTTTCTTTTAGGGTGGTGTCATCCCTTCCTGTATTAGATTTTTCTTGCTGCTATTCTGCATTGAGTTTATAAGAGCTGAAAAAGAGAGTCTAATTTTATCAAGCTTGTTGCCTTCAGCTTCTGAGTCCTGGCAGCCCCTCGCTTTTTCCATTTCCCCCTCCTGCTTCTCCAGTATTCAGTATGAAAACAGCTGTAGCATTGGTATCTACTTAAAAACCTTCCAAGAGTCCTGTGTATGTACACTTTACATTTTGGCTTGTTCAAATAACTTCTCAGTTACTTACGATCACAGGGATTTTACAGCCCACTTTGAGGATCTGCACCCCTGTAGGGCTCGTGCACGAGGCGTGCATCGTTGCTTCTGCTTTCCTGCAGCAAAGGCTTCAGCTACTGACCCTGATCCTGACCATCATTGCTTCCCCTCCCAGTAAATTCCTTGGACATGTATATTACATGAATATAAAGTCTTCTAGTTTAAAGTAATGTGTTTATCTCTTCTCTCTAGGCTCTGTTTTGGATATTATAAAGCACATTGTGGCCAAAGGAGAACACAAGACCGGTGTTCTGGATGAACCCTGTATAGCCACGATCCTTAAGGAGGTGCTGGAGGGGCTGGACTACCTGCATAAAAATGGACAAATCCACAGGTATTTTTTATTTGTCTCATCTTTGTCCCAAAATGTGTGTTGCTGAAACAGAGCAGCTGAGCACATGCAGTCTCATTCTGCAACAAGCCGTGAGGGCATGGAAAGAGAAAAATAAAGGTGGGAACTTAATCAAAATTCAGAATTCAAATGTCTATATGGTAGCTGCTGCTTTAGGAAATACTATGACTAGGCCAAGTTTGGTTAGACTTTGGGGCATTGAAAGTTCTGACATAGAGAACATCTTTCCAAATGTCAACATCAAGCTGCAAAGTGTAGTTGTTGGGAGCTGGAAAACTTCAGCTAGTTTTATTTCTTGCAGAGCTACAAATCACCAAGAGCACTGCGTAAGTGTTGAGCAATTTAATAAGGAGCTCTTCAAGCTCTGTTCGTTCATTCATTCTTTATTTTTAAGACTAGCTGCAAGATCAACATCATGAAATTTCAATTTGGGTAATCTCATTTAAAAAAAAAAAAGAGGAAACAAAATCAGTGGAAAAACTTCTTCTGTAGGCAAAACCCAGTTAACTAATGGCCTGTGATTTGATGGATCACTGAAATGTGTGGGTTTCTGTGCTGCTATGTTGTTTGGGAGGTATTTTTAAATCATGTTTTCCTCTCCCCTGGTGTCAAGGTGTGGTGTAGCTCAGGAAGAGAGGATACTAAGTCAGTATGTTTTGCTGTTAAAAAGAATGAGATTTGCAATCCTAAATATGTGCTGAAAATAGAATATACTGCTTGTGGGTAATATACATCATCCCAGCCACAGACTGCTGCTGGGAACAACAGCCTCTTCTTTCTTGGATTTTGTGAGCTTGGCTGTCTTCTGGTACAATGCCATTATAAGCATTGCTGCTGCTGTGCTGGAGTCAGTTTCTGTCCTTTGTGATAGCTATGTAAGAAGGGGTAACTCTTTTTGCCAAAATGTTATTTTAATTAGAAAATCCAAGAAGTATTTATTTCATATTTTTGGTCAAACTGACTGGCTTTTGTAGGTTGTTTTGGGTTAAAAAGAAATAAATGGTTGGAAACTGTTCTGGTGGAATTCTTTTCCCAGAAAGAAGTCTCAAATTTCAGTTTCCAGTCTCTATTAAAATTCTGATTTAACAGGAATGGTTGTCTTCATTGAAGGCAGTTTCGATTTCCGAGCTGGTTGCTTAACTTTGTTTTTTAGAGGTAAGACTTCAGGCAGCTCTGGGAAGTTCGAGTAAAAGAGCAACTTACTGAGTACATGGTAATTTTTCCACCCTTGCCATAAGTATTTTACAGAACCGTTCTCATCTGTGACTTGCAGTTGGTTTGCTTGACTGATTTAGTTCATTTTCTGATCCAATGAAATTAAAATATATAAGTTAAAGCAGCAGTAACCTATTAAATTTCAGTTTTTCCTGAAGATGTCACATAGTGATTTCTGTATTGAAAGAGGGGTGGTTCTCCATTTGACTTGCTTTATTGAAACAGCAAAACTAGTAGTTGTGGTAAAGGTTGTAGAGGATATATGCATGTATGTGTGGTTGGGGGTTTTTTGTATTTTTTTACTGCACTCAGCAAAAATGATGCTCACAGAAAGTTCAAACTGCTTAGTCTGAAAAAATGATTCATATTGAATCATTTGGAAGCAGACTGAACCAAACCTGCTGCAACCATTCTTGTCTTGCTCATTTGAAGAATTTCACCCTTTTTTAGGGGACTTCAGCAAAGAAATCAAAGCTGTGTCGTTGCAGCAGCTTAAGGTTGTGGTTGTGTGTCAGCTACTCTGCATGTGTTGCATCCCTGTATTTCAGGGGTGCTCTGACAATTGCGTAATGTTTTATCAGAAAAAAAGCATTTCGATTACCTCATTTGTGTTGAGGCATGGTGGTCTGGGAAATCTGGAGAAGTGGTAATAGTCATGATACAGATGGAAAGTTGTGGAGTTTCCTACCTGTGATGCAAAGGATGGGTTTTTAACTACTCACAGAAGGCAAGCTTGCATGCCTTTGAGGGATGACACGTTTCCTTAATGGAGTTAATCGTGCTGTCTTGCATTTTATCTAAATGAGTGTACACTGCTGAGAAGAAAACACAATTTAAAGTTGTAGTGCATATGGGAGCTTTCCTCATACATAGGAATATTTGTATGGCTTTCCCATTTTGCTTAATGCTAGAGATCGTAATATTGGTCATGCCTGATGGGAAAGGCAGGTGGAAATCTTGCAGTCGTGCCAGAGATGCTCTGAGAGGAAGTGTTTAAAATAACTAAACTTTGGTCCCTTGGGTCAGCTTAAAGTATCTGGCTTTAAAGGAAACCAGTTGCACCAGGTGATGGCTGAACTGTTGAATATAGTGTCTGCACTGTGGGGCAGCTGTGGTTGAGGTGAGCTTCAGGCCAAAAAAAGGTCAGCTGTGAAGGGTTAAAATTGAAGGGCTTTGGTTAGACCTGGAACAACCAACCCGAAGCACAAAACCATCCAGCAGAGCAAAGTGTTCAGCTGGTTACACTGAATATCCCAACTCGGTTTGTATTACACCTAGGAGAAAATGACTTGATAAAGTTAAAGACACAGTGTGGGTGAAATGAATGTAATTTGCACGTGAAGTTGGACAACCAGGCTGGTGGCAAAGCCCGAAGGGTGAATATCTGGACCGAAATGTAATTTTGTGGGCGCTGTTGACCTGAAGTGGGGACAGCTTGTTACTGCTGTAAATCATCAGTGAGATCAGAGAATCCACTGTCTTGACAGTGGAGCTGCTCGATACTTCTAAATTATGCATCATCTTAAATGGGTAAATTAAGTTAACATGTGGAAGACTGGCTTAATGAAATTCTGCTGCTGCTGAATTTTACGCGGCGTAAGCCTGCCTTGAACTTAATGCCACTTCTAATTAAGATTTGGGGACCTGGCTTTGCATGGAAGTGTAAATCCCTCGCTTTAGACAGGAGAGTAGCTTGACAGTATTCTCCACAGGAGACTAGAAAGCCAAGTATCTAGTGAAGGCTTAAATTATACTTTCTTTTTGGTTTACTTTCCTGATTAACAGCCGGAGCGAGGCTGAGACTTGAATAGATGCCATTGTTCAGCAGCAAATGCTTGAGTCTCCCACATTGTCCAAAGTGATTTTTTTTTTTTTACATTTGTGTTGCAAGGCCTGTTGGGAACAAAGTCTGTGGCCTTATGGAAAAGACAAAGGAGAAGGCAGAATCAGTTTTATTTTCGTGAAACACTCTATACCAAGGTGACGATTGCAAATGATTCCTGTCTTCCTCCAAAATCACCACTGCCTCCCCTACCTTGAGGTGGCAGCCCTCTGCCTTCATTGCCGTGTGCCTGTCCCTGGTCTTCTCTCCTGTGCCAGCTGCCACCGTCCCCATTGTGGTTTTCTGTGTAGCACCGTGATCCCAACGATGATGTGAAATCCTAGTGATCCGGCTCATGTTAAGTGAGTTAAATACCTGGGCACCAGCCAGTGTGCTGAGGACGGAGGGCCAGACTCGGAAACCTTCGGATGAAGCTGTCCGGCAGGAATCTGCTCAGACACTTTTTTATGGAAGTCGAGCAAGACTGACGTGCTGCGGGGGGTCGCTCCCGGGCTAATCTTGTCTGGGTGACACGCAGGGTATGTTGCAGCTCTTCCCCGTGTGGACTCTGATTCCTCTGTGTATTTCGGGATTAGCAGGAGTTCGATGAATGACTTGGTTTTGCTTTAGTTTTATTTCCAACTCAAGAGGTTTTATTGCTGAAAAAGACTCGTTGGAACGAAGTTCAAGGCATCTTCAGGTAGTGCTCTTGATGGCAGTCTGACAAATGAATTGTGCTGATTAACTGTTGCAAGGTCTCTCTGTCTTTCTCCCTATTTTTATCTCTGAGCTTATCTTCTGTTCATGATTAGCTGTTGTGTAACTGAATATTTCAGTTAGTCCAGGTGAAATGATACACTGCTCAAATATAATAACATTCTCCTATTGCAGCATAATAAATGTGATACTTGCATGCTTTTTTGTAGAAACAAAAACGCTTAGGAACTGGTTTAGGGTTGCATGCGCTTGAAATACTGTCATGGCAGTAATCCAGCTACTTTGCTGCTCTACTTCTTAGGGGGTGAGAAGTGCAACAGCACATTTCATATGCTGAGTTAGATCAGCTTGTGCCCCATACAGAATGTTTTGGGGGGTTTTTTGGTGTCTTTTCAAAATCAGTTTTCTGAGTATGAGGCAGCAGCGTGCTGTGGCAGCTGTTTGCATCTTGCTTTGAAGAGACTCTGGAAACAATATTCTTATTGTGTCTTTATGCAAATATATTAGCTTATTTTTTGGACCTTAGGATGATCTTGACACAGGATCAAAGCTTATTTGTCTGCCTCTTCTCCCTATATTACGAGAAAATAATACCTGAAAAAAGGGTGTCCATATGTGAGCACATACACATCACCAACACTGTGTGTGGGGTTTTGCAGGAAT